TAACCAAACTAATAAAACAAAATGTTGATATAATTTGCATACAAGAAACACACGTTAGGAAAAGTGAGGAGAAATTCCTAGAGTGTCCGAAACTGGGAAAATTATTTACAGCACCAGCAGATAAACACAAAAAGAAAGGCATCGCAATCTATGTGAGAGATGACTTAAAAGCGGAGTTAATCTGGGCGGACCCTGAAGGAAGAACGCTGGTAGTACAAATCTCGATTAATGGCATTACACTCTTACTGGTAGTAATCTATGCCCCAAATGATGATCAAGGTAAATTTTTTAAACATCTCCATCAAAAAATAACAGAATTCGAAAATGGTAATATTATTCTGATTGGCGATTTTAACTCTATTGCTGACTACCGGAAGGATCATAGTAATAGGAGTAAGAACAAAAAAGGGAATAGAGAATTTTCTAAGCCATGTAAGGATATGTTGAATGAAATGAATCTGGTAGATATCTGGAGAAAATTAAATCCCAAAAAAGAACAGTTTACTTATTATTCTAACCCGCACAAAATTTGGACAAGAATAGATATGGCTTGGATAAACGGTGAATTGATTAATGAAATCAAAGATAGCGAAATTTTACCAAATGACTGGGCTGACCACAATCCAATTCAAATAACCTGGAGAGGTAGAGGAAAACCAAAGAAAAGATGGACTTTTAACACTCATTTAACAAAAGAAGAAGAATATATTAATAAACTGAAAGAAGAACTGAACTTCTTAAAGGAAAATAATAATGATCTAACTTCGAAACAAAATATATGGGACACATTTAAGGCATTTATAAGAGGAATAACAATCTCTTACAATGCTATGAGAAATAAAAGAAAGTATGCCCAACAAAGTAATCTACAACAAGAAATTAAAGATTTAGAAATCCAATTACAAAAGAACCCCAAAAACCAAAGAATACAGAACCAGTTAATAACAACTAAACACAAATTAAATTTACTGGAACAAGGAAAATTGGAGATTAGTCTGAAAATGACTAAACAAATCTACTTTGAGCATGCAAACAAACCAGGGAGATGGTTAGCCCACAAACTTAAGAAAACGAAAGAAAAAAGATTGATACACCAATTAATGGATGAGGGGGGCAATATGCAGGAGGAGATAGAGAAGAAAAAAGAGATTACTTTTAATTACTTCAAGAAATTATACAAAAAAGAAGAAGTCTCTGAGGATAAAATAATGAAATACCTGGAGGAAGCGAATGATAAAGCAATTGGAGAGGAAGAGATAGAATTATTAAATCTTTCTTTCTTTTTTAAAAGAAAAGTTTTAAATTATCCAAGAATCTTTATCCCTTTGACACTTTATTTTCAGCTAGAAATTGCCTATTAAAGTCAGAGCAGATTAGTATCAATTTCTTATTCGAATCTCTTCTTAACGTTCCAAGTCAATTAAAACTGTCAATGTGAAAGAAAAAAAATCCAATTCCGTTTCCCTTTCTCTTTCACCGCTTAAGATCTTTTTTTAAGAATAGTATTTAGTCTTTAAAATTCAGGTTCCAGGTACCTTAAATAGATGTTCTCCATTCAGTTCAGTAAGTCAAACTTTCTCCTTTAAACTTCCTCCTGCACAATCTTGTCCGGTCGGTTTCTTGTTTGAGGAAGCCATTTCTGACCACCGCTGCAACCGTCTTTGGGAAAGGGAGGAGGAGAGGAGGCTCTCCTCAACCCCACTAATGGCTCCCCCTTCTTCACCAACTCTACAGAGTGTCTTCAGCCCCAAATCCGGGCAGCTTGGGGCGCTCCAGCGGCGAGCACGGGTCAAAACCACGCACGATCGTGGATTTTGGTTCATTGCCGAAGAAGCCCGAACCAGAAGTCAGAGTAGGAATTATTGATTATGATTTTATAGAAATGAATACAGTACATGTGGTCAATGACTTACAACAATTTGTTTAATGATCAGTAGCAATGAAAAGTGACATATGACTAATTTTCATACTTACAACCATTGAAACACCCCCATGTTCATGCAAGCAGACTTCAGGCACTTGGCAACTGGCATGTATTTATGACAGTTGGACTGAACCAGGGGCATGTGATCACCATTTGTAGCCTTCATAGCCAGCTTCTAGTAAACAAAATCAATGGGGGAAATCAGATTCATTTAATGTCTGCAAGAGTCACTTAACTGTGGCAAAAGATGTCATAAAAAAAGCCAAAATTAACTTTAAAAGTGCCTGGCTTAGCAATAGAAATTTGGATGAGAAGCCGCAGTGGCATAGTGGTTAGAATGCAGTACTGCAGGCTACTTCTGCTGACTGCCAGCTGCCAGCAGTTTCATTCTAAATAGCTCAAGGTTGACTCAGCGTTCCATCCTTCCAAAGTGAGGATCCAGATTGGTAGGAGCAATATGTAAACTGCTTAGAGAGGACTGTAAAGCACTATGAAGTGGTATATAAGTCTAAGTGCTATTGCTATTACCTATAATGACTTCTACATTAGACCATCTCATCTTTCCTTCCATCCTCCATTTCCAGGAATCTTGTAGGAAGTTGCAAATATTTCTTGGGGAAGTTATCTCCATTTGGAGGGTGGGGAGAACGGCAGCTTTTTAGTGACTTGGGATTGTATTTAATGATCAATGGCTGGTACTGGAATTCAACAATGATGAATGAAGCCACGTAAAGCATGTAAATACAGCTGACATTCCCCATTTTCCCAGGTTACAGAGAACTACAATCTGGGGTCATTCTAAGAAGTACACATGTGTTTTTGTGCCTTTGCATCAGTGTTGACTCCTGACTATTGCCTATTCAAATCCTTATTGTTTTCTTCACAAAGCTTCAAAAGTGATTTGCCGTTGCTTCCTTCCTAAGACCAAGAGAGTGATTGGCCCAATGTCAACCAGCTGTATTTAGATGGGACTAGAACTCATGTCCCCTGGTTTCTAGCCATTCTAAGAAGTAAGCTAGATAATTCAGGCATCCAGTAATGATCAGGAAACTTTTCCATATTCCAGCCTCAAAGCTGCTATGTAACTCATACTGATATGCTGGAATCTATGCTAGCATTTCTCAACCTTAGCAACTCTAAGGTACTGTACATAGATTTCCACCTAACTAGTTTAAGTTCACACATTTTACAGTTGCCAAGACTGAAAAATACTGATGTAATCCATCTAGAGTTCATGGAGGAATAGGATACAAAGAGAAGAAAAAATTAATCTTAACTTAATACAATTTCTATTGCAAAAATATTTTCCTGTGCTCTATTTTATTTTGGAATGTCTGCAGTTCTCGGGAGGTCATCAAAATTATTCTACAATGCACCACTATTCCAAACATCCCCAATGGCAGGAGCATGTTTGGATCTCACGCAGCAAGGTAATTCATGTGGGTCATTGTGCAAACCAAATAAATGCTGTTCTCATTAACTTCCTTTATTCTCTGTTTGGATATCAAACATGGGATGCATTCATTTGTATCAATAAATACAATAAATGAGTGTGGAATATTTGTATAAGATTGTTTTGGGTTATGTTGTAACCTGTTATTTTTAAGAGGCTGGGAGAATTGAGGTGGGAACAACTGTTGGGAGTCCAAAATTGGACTTTGAGGACAATGCCTAACATTTGTGCCTCTGAAAGTCTTATTTTGAAGTTGCGTATAACAAAATGTAAAGTATCATGATATGATGATAGGGGGTATGAAACAGGCAGTTTTATAGTTAGTAATTATAAGTTCTATAAACCTGCTGTTCAGACTGGTTGATTATAAAGAGTAAGTTATACTTTAGTGCAGTTTTTTTTCAATTTCAGCAATTTTAAGATGCATCAATTTCAATTGCAGCAACTTCCTATCTGGGGAGTTCTGGGTGCTGCAATCCCCATATCTTAAAGCTGCCAAAGTTGAAAAACAATGCTTTAGAGCAGGGGTGGAGAATGATGGCCTTTTTATGACTTGTGGGCTTCAACTCCCAGAATTCTTGAGCCAGCCATGGGAGTTGAAGTCCACAAGTCATAAAGAGGTCATTTTTCCCTACCTCTGCTTCAGTGAAGTAATCTTGTAAGCCTGAAAGAAAAATAATAGTTTGTTGAACATTTTCAATTTCACCTTGCAGGCAGTTTTCTTTTTTTAACCACAATCTACAGGCATTCCTGAAACTTTCTTTTAAAGCAGAAAGGGAAAAATTGAGTAATAGTCATATTTAATTGGGGAGGAGGATAGATTAGGAGTACAATAATTGACTAGTAATGCACTGGAAGAAGAGCTAAATAATGCATATAAGACATATTCTACTGGCATCTCTCAGCTAGCCTACTGAAATTCATTTTACATAGGGTGACCTTTGAAGATAACTTAGAAAGTAGTGCTCACAAAAATGTGACTGCTAGATTACTAAGCATTACATATCAGTTTAGCAAAATAACAAATCCGGTTTTGCAGCACCTTTCCTATCATTAATAGACAGTGGTAAGTACCTACAAAATCTGTTGCGGCTTTGTTATTTTTTTCTAGTCACTTGATTATTTTAGTACTTCTGTAGTGACTTACATATTTCATCCTGTTTAATCAGAAAATCTAAGAAAAGGGGGAAGCTGTGGGCCACAACAAAGGTGTTGGGGTCAAAAAAGGCAAAGTGGCACAGCCATGGAATCAAAACCCACACCCCTTTTTTAAATGTATCATGAAAAGGATGAAGCTTCAATCAGATGTTTATAGCCACCATTTTGATTTGATTTATCCCTTTCCTTGTGAACATCCCCAATGCAACATAAGATTTGGAGGAATGCAGATTGCCCATCGTTATTTCAAATAAGTTTTGAAATCTTTAGACTAAGATCAGTTTATAATATAATGTAATAATCCAAGTTGTCAATAATTCTTTGTGAGTTTAGTATTAGTATTCCATCTTCAGACTTCTCATCTGAGTCACCCCACATCTGCTAAAATTTAGACCATCCAGACCTCATGAAAGAATGGATGGACAGAAAGAGAAGGAAAAGTTAGTCTGAGGACTTTGGTTTCTCCTGCAGGAGTGTTTATCTTATTTTTTTCCTCTAAGATTGTCCGGAAAATGAAGTAGAAGTCTTAGAAAGAAACCATGATCCTCTACCGGTCATCAACATCATGTCAAAGAAGGGCAAACTAGGTAATTCCTGTCAGTCATTGTACAAAGCTAACAATGGAACTGTATGTTTGGTTTGGATTATATTTCAGCCACTTCTGATTCCAGAATTTTTGATCTTGTGAGAATAGAAAAACTGTAGGGGATACCTACAGTTTTTGTGCCTTCCAAAATCTCTTCCCTGAAATTGCTCTGAAGGTAATTCAGTTAAAAATTATGACAAAAATGTGGTAAAATTGAACATCTCACTTAACTACCACCTCGCTTAGTAACAGAAGCTCCATTCCCAATTGTGGTTGTAAGCCAAGAATTACCTGTAATTAAAGCTAAGAAATGGGGGGAACAAGGAAGAGGGGATGAAATAGGTTGTTTAATGTACCAGATAAGTGTGAAATCTAGAAATTTGCTCCTCAAAATCATTTTTTTAAATCTCTTCAAAGTTCCATGTTAGTAACCAAATATCACAGAAAATTTATTCTAAGGTTCCAGCTCAGATTAATGAACTAGAAATGTAATGTTTCAGTCACAGGTATTTTAATAGATTAATTTTTTTCTTAAGGATATTAATTTATGCTTATACCCAGTAAAAGTTCTTTCTCTTATCAGATAAATTTCTTTAGGCATTGCTTCACTTGACTAAGCTATCGTGGTAAAGTTAAATGTGTTTAGAAAGATATATTTTGGATAAATATGGTTCTTAGGCCTAGGAAGATGAAGGCTCCCAAAGTTGTGTAAAAAGTACATTTATCTTCGAAGCTATGATTTTTGCCTCTGTATTTTGAGCTACAATTCCTCAGTTCAGGAAGAGGAGTAGTTTTAATGCCATGTTTGGTCTGAAGAAATCAGCCAAGAGTAAATTGAAGATAAATATTGTATAAACTTCTCAATGTGCTATGATATTTATTTGTTTATTTATTGATAGTTCAACTGTCAAGCCCTTACAGACCTCAGGAGGAAGAATCTTCTCTTTTGAAGTTGGTATCCCTGCAAAATGCAGATGGCTCCTGGCCTCATGGGCCTGCCCTAAACACCATACTCGACCTGAGTGAGGCTGAGATCTCAGACAAAGCACCAGCCCATGTAAGTCTGTCGAGATCTTATGGCATCTACTGCAGGTGGAATTCATTTGTTTACAAGAATGCTTTTATGATTTGAAAAGGCTATATTGTTTGGAGGAATGGAATATAAGATTAGGGTTACATTATGCATCCCAGAACCTTCCAGATACACTGTGATAGAAAAGGTCTGAAAGACATTAAATTATAAAATCTGAACTAAACCAACTGTTACTAAAAACGTCTTGACATTGATAGTGTGTGAAAAAGCATTCATGTGAAGATGGGGAGCTATCAAAATAGGTGGGAAGGCAAGCAAATGCATGCTTACTCTGCATTTAATCTCTGATTTTGCCATGAGGGGACTGGAACCATCTTATGCAGTCTCTTCCCCTAAAGCCTCTAGCATCTTAACTTAAAAATTTCATACATAATATAGAGCATTCAGATCAGTGATGGGATTCAAAAGAATTTACTACCAGTTCTGTGGGCATGGCTTGGTGGGTGTGGCAGGGGAAGGATACTATAAAATCTCCAGTCATAGGTGGTATTTGCTGGTTCTCCGAACTACTCAAAATTTCCGCTACCAGTTCTCCAGAACTGGTCAGAACCTGCTGAGTATCACCTCTGATTCAGAGGATCAAGCGAAGATTTCTCTATGGTAGGACATAGAATGGAACAGGAGTCAAAGCACTGCTAAAAAAAACAGTGCTGGAGAGGTAGCATTGACCATCATTCAATGGAAAATATGGAATTTAACTATTATGAAAACTATGGTATCCATTGCCTTCTTCGATACACAGTTCTGTATTCTGCACAACCACCCTGCATTTACAATAATATTTAGCTATTAAATAGTAGTAAACATCATCTGGCCAAACATTATGCATACCTGCTTAGAAATAATATGTAAAGCTCATTCCATATTTTTTTTCCCACCATTATTTTCAGGTGACCCCAGATATATGGGCAACAGTGCTGGCTATTCTCTGGCTTCATTTGAATGCCGCAGAGCAGAAAGATGAGTGGGAGCTGCTGGAAGGAAAAGCTGTTCATTGGCTCAAAATGAATGCAGGTGAGATACTGTGGACAGCTGGTTAAGAGGAGCCAGTGCTAAGATAAGAAACAGTGGTTACATTCAGCTTACCTTAGACAACCATGAAGAAAACTAAGCAATATAAGGTTGCTTTGTACTTGGATAAGAAGCAACTAGGTTTGATAGTCATACTGGAAGTCAAAAAACTATCCCAGAACAGTTCTAAACTATTTTAAAAATATATGGACGTGTCCACAGAGTCTTAGTGGGATGACATGTTGGTGAATATATTAAAATGGTAATGTCCATTAACCTTATTTATTTCTATATATATATTTTAAGTTCTTAGTAAGAGCATAATTCCTTGAGGAATCTTTGGGATCTCTCTTTGGACATTCGCACCCACATCTCTTTGCATTGCACAGAATTTAACTCTTAAAATAGAAAAAGTAGGTCTTTGCACATTACAGTACATGTTGATGCAATTACAAGTCAATATCCCTTTTCCTAAGAGAATAATATATAGTGAATGAAGGGTTTTTTTGCCTGATTAAATAGAATAGCTTAGTGGGGTTTTTTTGTTTTATATTGATTAACCTTTCACTGGGATTTAATGGTTCTAGTGCTAGAATAGGACCAAAGATGTCCAGACTCAAGTCCATCTTCAGTTCTGAAAGCTCACAAGATGATTTAGAACAATCATTCTCAGCCTAATCTATTTTATAGGATAATTGTTGTGGAAGTCATATAGTCAAGGATATATTATATATAATACTTTGAATTCCATTGATAAACTTAATGTATAAATCTGTGCTATCTTGAATAACTGTTTGCTGTTTTCTGGATTAAAGAACTCAGACATCCAAAGAACCACCTTTATTCATTCTTCAAAACTTCTTTTGCTATAATTGAGGCTATTAGATCTGATCTGAAAAAAAAATCCAGAGAACATCCATGGCTGCAAAATATCTGCAAAATGTTTTGGTGCCCCAAAAGTGCAACTGGACTTCCTTTGTTTTTTTCTTGAAGATATTTTACCCCTCATCCAAGAAATTTCTTCAGTTCTGAACTAAAGAAGCTGAAGAACTGAAGAAGTTTCTTGGATGAGAAGAGAAATATCTTCAAGGAAAAACAAAGGAAGTCCAGTTGCCGTTTGAAAAAAGCACCTCTGGACATGACTGCAAAGAGGAACTGAAAATGCTATGGTGCACTTGTGGAATTTTGCAGCCAGATTTGATAGTCCTAAATGTGTGTACTTTCCTGTTGACCGTTTCTTGTTTTCTCAGTGTATGAACTGCTTCATCCAGATTTACTTCATTGGCATTGGAAGATGATATGGCAGATGAAAGCACATTACTTAAACTGGATTTTGACATTTGTTTCTTTGTTTTTAGGAGCTCAGTTGGCAGAGTGTGTGAAAGCTGGTAATGCAGTCCTGGGAAGTAGTGTGAGCCTCAGATTTGGGGGCTTCGAGTTTATGGAGTTATCATAAGTTTCAAATGGAAATGTCCAATTCTGCTATTGCTGAAATGTGATCTTCTGACCCCACCCTCAGGGCAACATTAGCTATCTTTTTAAAAAGCAACCCCAACCTTGTGGGCACTGGTTCCGCAGGGAAAAATTTCCACGGACCGTCAGGAGGGATGTGGTTTTGCATGCTACCTAATACTTCCATGCACTGATGAAGCTTTGTTTACTTGCACAACCCAGTTCTGATATCATTACAAATAATGCAGTGTATTAAACACTGAAGTAAACAAAAGTAGATGGATCTTAGAACTTTTTGCACGCTTTCATAGAATAATTTCCAATCAAGAAAGTATGGGACCGGGATAAACTGTCCAATCTAAAAATTAAGAATAAAATTACAGTTGTCTCCAGTTAAATAGCCAGAATAGTAGACCTTAGTCTATGGCATAATTGATGTACTTTCCAACTGAAGTATGACCATTCAATAATTCAGTGGATTATTGAAAGTTAACTAATGAAGCTTCTGGAGATAGAATGGAAACTCTAAAGTGACAAGCTTTCCCTGGGTTTTTTGTTTGATATTTATAAAATGCTACAAAGTGGTTATGCATCTTTAAGTGCCTTTGAAATGCAGGCTGAAAGTGGCTATGTATATAAGAATAAAAAAGATCAAGGGATCAGATAATTATTCCACAGCAATCCTAATACTTGAACTTTGTTCCACTCTTATTGTATAAAATCTATTACAAATTATAGATTGTCTTAATCAAGAAACAGAATAGTCAGTGCCAAGCATCAAAGTGTTGATTTAACAAGCATTTTTTAAAAGTTGTAGGTTATACAGATGTATTGATAATCCACAGTTATTTACCCATTTATCAAACTTTGACAAAAAAAATCATGTAAGATTATGGCAAGTAATTTCAAGTTATTCAAGAAGCAAAGCAAGAATCACTCACTTCCATATTTGAAGCAAAAATAGACAAAAATATTAATCTTAATCATCAGATGATCAGGATTTTAGATGTATTCATAATCTTAGTGCAGATCCATAACCAAGGGCTTCTGTCACGCTCTCTAAAGTATAAATTATTTGCAGAATTGAAACTTGGCAAAAATGTAGGAGACTAGACATCTGTAGTAGATTAAAAATTACTAATTTTTAGGCACGTATCTGGGCAACAGTAATTATTTGGGAAATTATATGCTAGGCATTTGTACTGGAGACTACTGGATTGACTGAAAAGTAAACATCTTTGCCAAGGAATAAGATAGATTTATTTTTGATACAAAAGCTACAGAATAGTGGAACAGTTTAGTACAAGTGAGAAAATATGCTACAAAAAGTACAGGAGTGTTATGCTCTGTTGGCTTAAAACTCTATGTTTGGTAGCGTCACTAGAAATAAATTATAAAACAACTTTAGCCATCTATAGCTATATCAGAGGATACAGAGGGAAATGGACAGGAAATAATCCTTAATCACACATACTGCTCTTCTGCAAACTAAAGTGACATTTAAATGCTAAAAGCAAATATTTCTAATATTTTGTTCTTGGTTTAACAATTTTATACAAATTAATGTACTGAGTTTCTTACAGTTAAGTTTCATTCACTCCTTTTATCCACACAGAAAAATAGAGTAAAATTCTTTATTGGCCAAGTGTGATTGGACACACAAGGAATTTGTCTTGGTGCATATACTCTCAGTATATATAAAAGAAAAGATACATTCATCAAAAGTCAAGAATCATAAGGTACAACACTTAATGATAGTCATAGGGTACAATAATATCCACACAGTTGCTAAAGCTAATCAATCCTACTCAATAACACGTTTCTTCAGAATTTTTCAGGCCTCCGTGAGGTGGACATTGATATGATGGATTTCAATAGTGGTGAAGAAAAACCAGAAGGTGAAATAAATCCTTTCAACAGGTTTGCTGATATAATAAGGCAGAACATCTACCCACCATATTAGCAAACTTAGAAAAACATTAATGAAGCTTCTTTTAAATATGTGCATAAGAAACGTATAATTAAAGCCGCCGTCATCAATTTTATTTTTCTTAAAACAATATGGTGAAGTAGTCCTCAAAAAGTTGTCCAGGAGCAATTCTCTGATCCTGCAAGATTTTATCAATAAGTCCCTCTCTGAGGAAAATGGGCAGTTTAGAAATGTGAAATATAAATAAATAAATATTTTATTTCAGACAAGCATGCAGGTTCTACTACACATGTGAGAATCCCTGATTAGCAAAATGGCACAGCACACTGGAGATATATGGGGAACTGCTTATGTTCATAGGCAAGATGGAATACTAGAAGTATCACATAATTTATTTTTATTTATCAAATATATTGGCTGCCCATCTTACCACAGGGAAAAGAAGAAATGTAATCATCAAGTTAGAATGCAGAATGAATTCAGGTAATCCTTGACTTACAACAGTTCACTTGGTGACTGTTTGAAGTTACAATAGCACTGAAAAAATTGACTTCTGACCGTTTTTCACATGACCTTTGCTGCACGCCCATGGTCACATGATCAAAATTCAAATGCTGACAACTGACTCCTATTTATGATGGTTGCAGTGTTTTGTGATCATGTGATTGCCTTTTGTGACCTGTCAAGTAAAGTCAATGGGAAAGTCTGATTCACTCAACAACCATGTCACTAACTGAACATGTACAGTGAGTCACTTAAGAACTGTTGCAAGAAAGGTTGCAAAATGAGGCAAAATTCACTTAACAAATTTCTCACTTAGAAACAGAAATTTGGGGATCAATTATGATTGTAAGTCAAGGACTACCTGTAGCAAACACTGGATTTGATTCCAGAAAATATTTAAAAGGAAACTTTAAATGAAAGACTTTAAAGGAACCATCAAGACAAGTTTTGAGTGGACAAAAAAAAAGAGAGTAAAAGGATTGTTAATTCTGTCATGGAATATAGCCACTTGAAGATGGAAAGCTTGAGATAATTCTTTTGGAAACAGGCCCAATCTCACATGGTTTTGTTGCAGGAGACCTGGTTTCTGTAACTTATTAATTTGAAAGCTTTTACTGTTTATTCAATGTCAGCCAAGTTCAGCGATAAGACAGGCAGATCATAAAATGATTGAAGCATGAGCGTGCTAAACTCGATTCTGTCATCACCCACATAGTGAACTGTGAGTTATTATCCATGGCCATAATTAAGTCTCAAGCCATTCCATTTCCCATTGCAAAATCTTCAGATCTTTGTGAGGTTTGGCAAAAGCTGGAAAACCCAGCTTTTTATTTCATTGGAATAAAAATCTGCAAATATTGGAAAGGGGTGCTTGGAAAGATCTTTCTAACTGCAAGATGGCAGTTTTGTTAAATGACAAATTGTATGTAAGCATGTAAAAACAGAACCTCTCTCCTTACTTGTGTGCAGTATTATGTCACATATTCAAAAGAATTTACATCACAACATTGCTGTGCGTGTTTCATAATTTATCTTTCAATTCATGACATCCTTAGTGCCATTTCTCAGAATAGACAGCGATTCCCCAGTCCATCTGTGCAGGAAAGGAAGCAAAGTGGGCAGGCAGATGGGCAGGACTATTTAGAAGAAAGGGATTGGCTTCTTCAACTTCACCATTGCAATATCAGCATCAAAAAAATGCACCAAACAAACAATATCAGCATCAAACAAAAACTAGGGCAACATGATAGCAGTGTTCCAATGCCATATAGAAGAGGGAGTCAACCTATTTTCCAAAGCACCTAAAGACAGAAAAAGGAGGAATGGATGGGAACTAATTATGGAGAGAAGCAACCTAGAACCAAGGAGAAATTTTCTGATAATGAGAGCAATTAATCAGTGGAATAGCTTGTGTTCAGAAGTTGTGGATGTTCCATCATGTTTTTTTTAAAAAAGAAATGATCAGACAGTCATTTGTCAGAATATTATGAGTTTCCTGCTTATGCAGGGGATTGGATAAGAAGATCTCCAAGGTCTCTCCCAATTCTGTTATTCTGTTAAATCCAGAATAAGAAGGGTGTGCTATGATCTGGCTGATGGTAGAAGATCCCTTGGAGCTTATAGGATGGGAGAGGTCATATATCTTCCAGGTGAATTCAGTACTTCAATACAGAGCAAGGAAACTGAGTGACGCTACGCACTAAGTCAAACAACTAATCACATTATGGCTTTGTCAAAAGAGACTACAACTAGGTCACTGTGACTTGGAAATTTAGCACATTCTGTGAAACCAAGTAGTTGTGGATTATTTACAAACGAGACACTGATCTTCCAGGTAAGAATGCCTGTTTTGAAACCCTTACTCAACGATATCATTTCTTGGGATGATGGCAGCTTCCAAATGAAGACTTTTGTTCTGTCTTGTTTGCAGCATTTTGCAATGGCCTGTACCATATGGTCTTTTGCTGTTGGTGCTCCTGGGTTTTCCAACTACTGGTCCTATCTCTTATTTTCAATGGGAGCAGCCACAGCCACTTTTTATCTATACCAGAGTTCTTTCAGATGAGTTAATAAAAGGCAAGAGCTTGCATCCTTTATAATAACTTGATCTCAAACATGGAAATTCAGTTTATTTAGAAGTTCAGCTGAAAGCTCTTTTCAGAACTCTTTTTCCCTCATCCTTCAAAACAATGAAAAGCTAACACCATACTACTGGGGAGGGAAAAGAAGAAAGATGACAGACATGTAGCCCATTTTTCGCATGTTGTCTTGCTAGAGTGCATTCCCTTCCTCCACTTTTTTGCCTTCAATAATCCAGATGGAAGGTAGTTCAGGGCATTCATAGATGTAAGAACACAAGAAATGGGGGGAACAACAGAGGGGGAGGGATAAGACACCATCTATCTCCAGTTTACAATGCAACCCTTGCAGGAGTTCTAAGAAGATTCCACACCCATTTGCACTCTGGTTCAGATGACCCTGAGGGCACAGATTCTCAAGTGACCTCACAAGTGCTCAGAGAGACAGAGATGCTAACTACCAAATGACTGCAAAGAAATCTTTCCATCAACCCACCATTATCCTACCACAGGGGTCTGCAACCTTAAACACTCAAAGAGCCATTTGAACCCATTTCCCACATAAAACACTGGGAGCCAATAATTTAACAATCAGTGTGACTGGGTGGGTGTGG